CCCAAAAAAAAAGGGTTTTTTCCCTTTTTGTTTCCCCCCGGCCCCAAAAAGGGAATTGGAGTTTTTTTTGGGTTTTCCTTTTTTGCCGGGTGTTTTTTTTTTTTGCCCCTTTCTTCGGGTTGGGGGGGGGGGGGTTTCCACCCCTTCCCTTAGGGGGGGGGCTTTGGGCGGGGGATTCCCAAAATCGGGGCCCCGGGGGGGGGGGGGGGGGGCTTCCCTTTGGGGGGGGCCCAAAAATTGGGGGGTTGGGTTTTTTTTGGTTGCCCCGGGGCCAAAATTGGGTTTGGGAGGATTGTGGGGTTTCAAAAAAACAGAATTCGCCTTTTTTTTTCCTTTAAAAAAAAATTTCCCCGGGGAAAGGTAAAGGGGTTTTTTGGTTTTGGAAAATTTTTTTGGGGGGGGGCCCCCCCCCCCCCCCCCCCCCCCGAGAGAAAAAAAAATGAAATAATCACACCGAAAGACTCAGCCTTTTATTCACGGATCGACCGCGTCTAAATAGCTCAGGCAAAGCTACAGCTGTGGCTCAGTCCCTCTACTTTCCCCATGTTTCTCGTTTCTTGTCGCCCTTTGCTTCTCGTTATGATGCGACGGCGTCACGAACGCATAGAAACGTACTGCTGTATGCATAAATAAATGCTGTTACTCCGGAGTATTTGAAACAGGTGCAACCAATACGGAGGGTGTTACCTAACTAGCCCGTGTGTAAGTACCGTTGGCACTCCAATAGCGCGGCGTAAAAGGGTCAAAGCGGAGCGTAAAAGGGGGGGGGTGTCCCTAACTAAGCCCGTGTGTAAGTACCGTTGGTACTCCAGCCGTGTGTAAGTACCGTTGGTACTCCACACGCAGGGACGTGGCTGACATCTCTTGCATTACACAGAAGGAGTCCTCTCCCGCATTACACAGGAGGAGTCAAATCCTGCATTACACAGGAGGAGTCCTCTCCCGCATTATACAGGAGGAGTCAAATCTGCATTACACAGGAGGCGTCCAGACCGTTCTCACAGCCTGTCAAACGCGGCTTCGAATTGCATCTAAGCGCTAGAACGCATGTGTTGAATAGTTTTCGCCCACATGTTTCATTCTGTCGCGTCCATTGAGTCCTCTCATCGAAGTGCGCGTAGAAAAGCCTGAAACATACCCTGGCGAACGGAAAACAAAATTTGAACGGGTTTACAGGAGTACAGCATACGTCACCGAACTCGACCCCCGAGAACCA